CTTGGTTCTATCAGCTTCTCCTAGGTGACATTGTTTGCTTTCTCTGGATGAATGTTTTAAAAGGCATCTGCTGAAATGTCTTGCAGAATTCACACAACATATGTGCAAGCTCGTATGCAAATATGGAGCACATCCCTTTTGCCACTAGAGCTTTGTTTAAAACTTTGCCTTAAATTCACTTTGGTGGTGGGTTGATTTTTTTTGTCTTGGGTATCATCTGCTCCTGTCCTTGTACACAAAAGGTTCTGCACATCATGTAAACACAGCTTGAGACAGAAATTGCCTTCCAAGAACAGGGGCAGAGCAAGACACTATGAGAAGACTTCAGCTCTAATGTCCACAACACAAGTCTCCAGCTTTAGAGATTCTGAAACTACTTCTGAGCCCTGTGCTTGCAGAAAAGTTGTGAAACACCAACAGTGAAACAAAGCTCTCCTTCAACTTAGAGTGACTTACTTTCCTTCATAGAGCAGACAGCAACTGAGTGCATATATAAAGCAGAGGAGTGAATCCATATGTCCACTCGGAGGCCAGTTGTAATTGCAATCCCCAATGCATACAGGCAACTGCAGGCCCCTGACCTCCATGGGGGTGACATGCCCACCGCAGGCCATATACCCATTTCAGGATACAAGATGTATCAGGATATGTGTTCCTCTGGCAGTCCATCTGTGCGAGCAGTGCAGAAAGAGTGCAGAGCTCTGACACTCTGCTCCCGGGCAGCACCTTCTCAAGTTTTTATGCAAAAGCATTGTCTGAATGGAGACCTTCTGCATCTCATCTACCAGTTCTTATGGAAGTACAACAGGGTTTGGACTGGCCCAGCAGTTCTGGCTCATGAAACAGAAGAAATGCAAAGTTCTTGCTTGGTACATGTCCAGGAAGAGAGATGAGATCTGCAAAGGAAGAGTTTCTCCGCAGAGATGCCTGCTACCTTCCTGAGTGTATAGTACCAACACTGTGCAGCCTAATGAGTTCTGGGCAGTGCTGTGCCATGATACCAGCCCCACCAGTGGCTGAAGCAACACTGCACTGTGGTCAGAGTGCTCTGAAACCACTGATGCTCAGTGGATGAGTGAATGCTGCAGAGTTGAGCTTTCTTCTGCTGAATTAATCAGAGAGACACAGGCAGAATTTTAAGATGTTGCATTGGCTGTAAAAAGATGTGGCTGTTTGGAGCCTGTAGCACAGAGAGTTCAGAAAGCAAGAGAAATGACACTGCTGGATAATGCTCCCGACTCTGGTGTATGTGCCTTGCACTGGGTGAGCTTTATTTCCTCCATTTCCCTCTCCAAAGAGCTTTGCAAATTGTGCCCAGAATGCATGATGTATCAGAGAGGCATTAAATGGCACATGGCTCCAGGATGGTGGTGAGGAAGATGTGCAGCAATACTGACTTTCGAAAGTAATCCCTGTAACCACTGGATGTCTTCAATTTTCCAGTAGTCATCTCCCATTGCCCAGAATGTAGAGCTGGGCTGGAATGAGTGGGAATGCTGGATAACAGAGCAATGTACAACCTCAGCTGCCTTGTGGGGAATGTGGAGATCTTTTTACTTACACCCTGTTCATTAATTATGTCCTGCATCTTCTACAGGAACCAACAAACACCACAAACAAAAAGGAGAGATGCCTGAGAAAAGCATGACTCAAATCCATTGCAAGGGTGAAGAACTACTGCGAATCTTCTGCTGAACGGGTCCCAGAATACAAATTGCAGAAGATAATTCTCCTTCTTGAGCCTCTCAGTTCTCTGATCTTGCCCTTAAACTATATTATGCAAAAGTCACCTGAAATTATCTTTGGTCATTTCAGTTTATCCCTTATTTTCCTGAATGATGGGTAGTGGATTTCAAAGTGACTTCTCATTTGCCAAGATCGTTACAGTCTGTTCCTGACTGACTGGATGGAAGAAGCAGTACAAAGATGCACTGATTCTGCACAAGCCCATCAGATAAATATGTGGCACTTAATTTCACACACCTCATGCAAACAGTCAGTTAATGCTCCTGCTTTGGCACTGAACACAGATTCCATACATATGACTGGGCTTATTTCATCATGTCCAAACCTCCATGCAAAATGGAGATCAGACACAGGTTCTGGCTGAGAAATCTGTAAAGACATGTTACCCCAGGATGCCACACAAGCACAAATAGGAGTGGGGACATAGTTTCAATGCTAATACAGTCTCTCTTTACTGGATAATATCTGATCAATTGTTTCCAGCACCCTGATGAATATGATGCACTTCCTAATCCTGCAGTCTATTAGACATGGTTTGAAGTCATCAGCAAGAAAATAATGTTCTCAGAGAGATGACACATTAGCTATATGCTCACTTGGGGCTATGTTCTTTTTGCCAGCAATAACCCTGCTCCAGGAGTGCAGAGAGGTACATAAGCAGTAGGAAAGAAGAGCTTATTATCTGAGATGGTTATTGCACTGTTAAGAGGAAATTTTCATCATTGCTGAATTCCTTAAGAAAGTACCTCATAATTTCTCTGACCTGGAGATGAAATGATGCTCTGGCAGAGAGCTGGGCTCTTCCCTTTCTGTGGGGTGGCTGACGTTGGCTGTCAGGTTTTGAGCCCAGAGGATACTTGCTGAAACAGGCAAAGCCCCTGTTCCTGATGAAGCAGTTTCCTTGCTGTCAGCACTGGAGGATCACACAAAGTTGGGGTATCCCATGCTGGCGCCAGACTGGTGCTCAGAGAAAGGGGAAGCTGTTCCTTCTCTCATGGTCATACCCTGGCACTGTTGTGATTCGTTATAGAATCATAGAATCATAGAATAGTTAGGGTTGGAAAGGACCTTAAGATCATCTAGTTCCAACCCCCTGCCATGAGCAGGGACACCACACACTAAACTATGTTGCCCAAGGCTTTGTCCAGCCTGGCCTTGAACACCTCCATGGTCGGAGCATTCACAACTTCCTTGGGCAATCTATTCCAGTGCCTCACCACCCTCACTGTGAAGAACTTCTTCCTTATATCTAACCTAAAGTTCCCCTGTTTAAGTTTAAAGCCATTACCCCTTGTCCTACCACCAGAGTCCCTAGTGAAGAGTCCCTCCCCAGCATCCTTGTAGGCCCCCTTCAGATATTGGAAGGCTGCTATGAGGTCTCCAAGCAGCCTTCTCTTTTCCAGGCTGAACAGCCCCAACTTTCTCAGCCTGTCTTCATATGAGAGGTGCTCCAGTCCTCTTATCATCCTCATGGCCTCCTCTGGACTTGCTCCAACAGCTCCATGTCCTTTTTATGTTGAGGACACCAGAACTGGACACAATACTCCAAGTGAGGTCTCACAAGAGCAGAGTAGAGGGGCAGGATCACCTCCTTTGACCTGCTGATCATGCTTCTTTTGATACAGCCCAGGATACGGTTGGCTTTCTGGGCTGCAAGCGCACACTGCCTGCTCATGCAGAAGCTTCATTGTGAGGAAGCTCATGGTGCAGCAGAATACACAGACTCAGTGACAACAGGGGCAGGAGGGAGCAAGATTTGAGTTTGTTGACATGGTAGTTGTAAATCAAGTGCCAAAACATGGGTGGCCTCAGATGTCTGACAGGTCCCACCTCACTCAGCCTCCTGTGAGTGTCTTGGATAACCTGGCATACCTCAAATGCCACAGATGTCTCTGAATTGAGGACTGAGAATGTAAGTCTGCTGAGAGCTGCAGAGGAGTGCTCTGACCACACTGGATTTGGGAAACCATGAGCAAATTTACGCTGGAAGACAAGACTGTCTCAGCCCATCTTTGGGAAGCATGGGTGCGATGTGAAGGTAGGTGACAGGAGGTTTAAAATATCTAAGGGAAGCCACAGTAGGGGAGAAGTTGTGGAGGCAGCTCTGCATTCCCATGTGCAGGGACATGTGAACCCAAGACTTGGGAATTCTGCCACTCCTCACCTGTATTGGAAAATCTAGCCCTCTGGTTTTATTTTCAGACCACACATGAAGTGTCCACCTCCTTGGCCTTTTGACGTAGACTTATGCAATCCCATCACTGCTGCAAACTCCCACAGAGCCCACTGTAGCCTGATTTAGCTTTGCTTCTCGTAATTGAAGCTCCTGTGTACCTGCCTATTTTAACATCTGAACACCTGGGATTTATAAATGCAATTCAACAGGTCCCTGTCCCTTGGCTGGGCTGATGAAAGACCATTTTCCAACCAGCTTGCAGCAAAGGACCAAGATTTCAAAACTCTGCAGATTGTCTGGACTTGAATTTTAACATTCATGCTCAGTGCCCTCAGCATCAGCATCCTGGAAGCAGGCATTTTGACACTGGCTCAGGTTCCCTCAGGGACCAGCTCCTCAGGGATGGCACCTCCTTCTCTGCATCAGGAACCTCTCCAAACCTTGCCTTGTCTTCTGACTGCACCCAGATGCACACCCCACAGCTGTACTTTACACTTCCCAGGGGAAGGGAAGCATGGTGATCCCTAAAGCCCACCAGAACAGCTGGAACTATGGACTGGCTTTGCCAGGAGCCTCCAGTGTCAAAGCATTAATCCGAAATCTGGCACACTGAGAGAGCAATTTGACCACCAGCCTCAGTTAAAATAACCCCATAGACTCATTTCTATGTCTCTGATGGTGGGGAAAGCACAGCTTGCTGGGGTGAAGGTAAGTGATGCTGCCTGAACTCATGCAGGCTGCAATGGGGCCCGTCCACAGCACCATGACACAGCCCTCCACAGTAAGTGAGGTGACTAACAGTCCACCAGACACCCTGTACTGCTTTGAGGAGAGCTGTTTGGTCCAGGTATTTCTGAGGTCTGGTTTGCTTTTCTCCATAACCGCTGTGGACAAGGAAACAAGCCACAGAATCCATTTTTCACTGATCAGCTGGTACCCATTTGAATTATGTCCATAGCTTGTCACTAACGCTGGCTCAGATACAGCTCTTCTCCCTGCCAGAGTCTGTGGGAATGACTTGCCTCTCTCAGCTTTGTTGGGTGCACACTGTAGACATGTCTTTGTTGTTTCTTTTCAGACAAGCCACGAATGAACAACATCCTTACTTCTGCCACCGAACCCTATGATCTGTCCTTCTCCCGGTCCTTCCAGAACCTCTCTCACCTCCCACCATCCTATGAGTCTGCCATCAAGACAAACCCAAGTAAATATTCTTCTCTGAAGAGACTAAGTAGGTGTCAGCTCATTTCATTTCTTTTGTATCTCATTTGCTTGTAAGCCACATTGGGCACAATGTTAAGGCAATAATTTTCTTCCTTCTGTCATTGTACTGCCCAAGTTGGTGTCTCTGGTAATGATTCTTTTGGCTGTCGCTTCCCATTAAGGAAGACTGTAGAGAAAGAGTCACTTCATTACTGTGAGAGCACATGTGGTTATTTGCTTACTGACCTCTTCCTGTCCCACTATACCACCTTGTATCTGCTCCTCATAGAGTCATCTGAGGATCTTCTTTCTGCTGGAGTCGAGATGAACCAAGCTGTCTGCCCCAGATCCGCTGAGTTCACTTCGGTGTACCCAGGGCAGATATCTCCCCATCCATGGGGGTAGCTGAAACCAGATGACAAGCCCATGTTGACAGAAAGCTGCTGAAATGGTTGGGAGCATCTATTTCAGTAGGAGGACAGCAGTGTGATCTACCATGTTTCATGGTGTATGTGTCTGGATCTGGTCCTGACTTGTGCCATACACTGATCCAAGGAGTGTCTCTGATATTGCAGCATGTTGCTGACCACCCTGTTCACACTAGTTGGTATCTGTTCTTTCTTGCTGTTTTATGTCTTGCATTGTTCTGCCAGCTTTCCTGTAGATGCTCCAGCCCATCAGCTTTGCTGGTGGCACTTTTCAGCTCTGGTGGGTTTATGAAATAAGTGGTATTTGTGCAGGCAAATGCTCTCTCCAGACTGACACTAGGTTTGTAGTATATATGTTTCCACGGACATTTTCTGGATGCAGCTTGTATTCATACTGCTGAATTTAGAGAAATATCTTAGGTGTTTATCCTTGCAATAGCTTAATTGAAGACAGGTCAGGATGAAGAGCAGATCCTACTTCCTTAGTATATCTAAAATCTGCATTCCCAATTTAGCCACCTGAGTGAGACACACAAAATTAAGTGTCAGGGAAGCCCTTGGACTGTCAATAAGATCTCTGTGGAAGATCTTCCAGAAGAGAAAATGGAATGGAAATGTAGCACATAAAAATCTCAGCCCACTCCTTGGCACTTCAGCATGGTACATGTTTAACGTTAAGAAAAATACATTTGATGTGTTTAAAAGTAAGCATGTGCTTAACCCTGTTGGAGAACAGAGGTGAGGTATTTTGTTAATGGAGCCTGCCATCTTCCCTGATCAGTGTGCCACATGCATGACTCTGCTTCTAACCAGGAGCTTTGGTCCCTGATAGCATTTGGATCTCACACTCCCAACCACAAGCATTTTGGCCTTGCTGCAGCCCAGCAATGAACAGTCCATGTTCTTCATCAACTTTGACGGTACTATCTAATATTAGAAAACCCTTGAAATCTTGGCATTTTAATATTACTGCTTTAAAATGTGATGATTTATTTTCATTTCTTAGCTGAAATGAAAATTTCTCAGCATAACAAAGATACCCTCTAGATAGCCCTGACAACTGCTTTTTAATATGTAATTGATTTGCAGTGCCTGGGATTACTTGGGATACATGCTTCCTGTTCAGAGTCTGGGACATCTCTGTCCTGGCATCACTGAGTACAGGTTAGAAATGATGGCTGCTCCTGTCATGATGCAAAGGATGGTCAGGACCTCTTCTAGCCTGTGGTTTATTTATTCCTTCACATATTGTGCATGGATTCTCAATGAAATCTCCTTGAACTCTATGTTAAAGCTATTGATGTATCTCACTGAAACATTAAAACCCCACAAATGAATCCTAACTGAAACTCCCACCCCTTCCACAAACAACAACTGGAAAAGTATGTCAGATTTGAACACTCTCCTCTACATACTCCTACAATGCTTACCTGACTAACACTGAGTATAAATTCACCCACACCAAGCACTGCCATCTGTTCACTGAGCAATACCTTACTAAGTGGTGTCTCAGCAGTCTGACCCATTGGCTGCAGTAAATTTTGCTCAGCAGTTGAAGAAAGGACAGGCCCTTACTTGTCCAGCTTGCCCCTCAGTAGATTACAGAAAAGGGAATAAGTATTGAACTCTAGAACTGCATTTCCAAGAGATTTGTCTAAAATGACAAAAATAGGTTTGTGTTAAGGTGCCAAGATTACGCATCCTCAAGAACGTGCTGAGTATAGTGAGCGTCCCTCTCTTGAGCTTTTCCTGGCCCTGTCCTCATTCAGAGGATACCCAACAGTCAACATGAATCTAAGAACATTACAGTTAGTCTTTGGCCATTGGCTGGAGTGGGGTTCATTCACCCCCTTAGCTTTTCAGCAGCATCCACCCTAGAAGGGGATCCCTGCACACTGCAATGGAAATAGCAGCTATTTACCCATCAGTGGCAGGCCTAGTCATCTTTGCAAGGCATCAAACTATCCTTTTGCAAAGTACCTGACAAACCAACTGCCTCACACTGTATTTTTGACTAACTAAACAGCACTTTCAGCTCTAAAAGTGATAAGCACTCCATACTCCCACTGGGCTTGCATATGCTCAGCCCCTCTGGAATCACTGAATCACTTCCTTATGGCTGGTCTTCTGCAGAGCCAAAGGAAAACAGGTACACAGGTCCTAGACCTGCCCTTGTTAAATGCCAGCAATACATTTTCTTACTCCATATGACTGAGCTAAAGGCAACACAAATTCCAGAAAAGGTATCTAAATGCTGGGATTTGCAAAGATTTTTTTTTGTTTTCTTTTATTTCTTATATTTAAAATTACTTGTTTCTAACAAATTCCCTGCCATGGTTATAAAAAAAAGAATGTTGTGAAGAGCTCATTAACAAACATCATATTTCTGAGTAAAACAAAAGGAATTAGATACTTTTTAATCAGCTATTTCAGTCGCCAGACAGCTAAAGGTCACTTCTTCTCCCACAGTTAGCAGAGACAGATAGTGAAATGCAGTTTCTTCCCAAGAACATCTAAATTTAATAATCAAGGCATATCCAAGAAGAAATAATGTTTAGTTTAATATCTCCTTGCCAGAGATGAGGAGACAGAGCTCAGCAAGGGTATGGTCAGATCCACCTCACCCTACTTCAGCCATTCAGCAATCAGGCATCTTGTCTGTGCGTTTGATGGAGGCATCTGTATAGCCATGTCCATGTGAGCCCTCTGAAGGTCCCTCCAGCTTGGGGAGGGACCTCCTCACCAGTGGAGTAGCAGGGTAGGCACTCACCTCTACTGGCATTTGGCTAAGAAAGCAGGACCATGGCTGCTTCTTCCACAGCAAGAGCTTTGAGAGGGTCCAGGCCTTATAGGAGCAGCAGGAAACACATCAATCTAGCATAGCAACCAGCCAGAAGCAGATCCCATGCAAGCAGTGGTATTTCTGCTTCCGTGGCTGTTTAACTCCGCAGCTTTTACTTCAAGACACAGACAACAGGAAACCCATCTGAGGTTGCTACCTGTGAAGCCAAGGAGGAGGATCTCTGAGGGTCAGGGTATCTCATCCATGGGAAGCCCTATGCCCTGTCAGGCTGGCATGTGGGAAGAGCAGCGGTGGGTGGATGTGGGAATATGTGGCTGAGCAAGAGCAGCCAGATTAACTCTATCTTGCCCATCGCTCTGGGGAATTGGTGCCTCCAGCTAAGTGAAAGAGGTCAGTCAGGAAGGAAGATAATATTTTCAGGCATATTAAGCCACTTGGTATTGGCTAAAGAAGCATCACAAATGACTAGGCAGCTTGGAAATGTTACAGCCAATTAAAACAGGAGAGATAAGCCCAGAAAGGAAATACACTGGAGCTGCAGAGAAAGAAAAGCAAAGCAATTGCCTTTAAGTAAAGCAAAGAAATTACTATGATGGTCTTACAAACATTCACATGTTCATGTATTTTAGCCATATTAACATACAACCACAGGAAGGAAAAATATCCTTGGTTTTTCCATGTTCTCTTTGCAGAATGTCCCAAATATACCTCATTTCTCTAATTACAGTGTCAGAGGAGCTGTGCTCTGCCTTTCTGTGATGGCATCTTAGACATGTAGAAATGAGATGTGTGAGTAAGAACACTCATTTGGGGCTCTACTCCAAACGGAAGGAAGGAAAAAAAACCCCAAAAAGCTGTTTGAGGGCAAATCAGCTTATTTAAAGCCAAATCAAATGAAACACTCAAACACTCCTGATGTTTGATGAGACCAGCCATGGTCAATGTTCTAGAAATTGCCAAAGAAAGAAAAGGATGAAAGAAATAACCAAAACCTATGAAAGTCTTGAAAATGTGCAGAAAAGGTGATTTCCAGTAATTCCAAATGTATGAAAAGCGCGAGTGAAGCCCCAGAAATATGAGGTTGACTTAAAACTAGGATAAACTTCTGTCAATGAATACATCAGTGATTTCATTCTGTCCCCACATCATTTCTGGCTTTTTGGAATCCACTAAGGACACATTTTTGAATTCTTGAGCACATCCACGAGACAGAAACTTGCTCGACTGTAGTTTTATTTTGGCTAAAAGTACAAGTATCAGTTTTCACATGAGCATGAATGAAAAGATAAGGGGTAGCAGTGTCAGAGCCTCTCTAGCCCAGTGACCTTACTGGTGCAATGCAGATGAGGTGAATCATATTGGGTGGTTTCAGTTACCAGAGACATTTTGATTTTAGCAAACTGTGCAACAAGATGTCCACGGTTCCCACTAGGTGCTAGGGTGAAGCACCCAGTGTCTCCAGTCTCAAAAGCCTGTTGGTTTCACTGCTTTCCCTGGGTGCAGATTTGCTGCAGTTACAGAGCTGTGCTGATCTTCTCCCTTGGCATGAAGGCACACGTGTGACCCAGCACGCTCGGCCTCCTGTCAAGCTATATTCTCCATGGCTGGTTCTGCAACACTCATGAACCTACACCACATTGCAGAGGCAACAGCCTGTTAAATGTCTGTCTGGTGCCTGCTTAAACCAGCTTCTTGTTCACGGGAAACTGCCATTTCGGCTTTGATTCCTTTGTGTTGGAGATGTGAGGTCTGTCTACACCTGAAAATGTTCCCAGAATAACTGTGCCAACATCTACATGTGTCTCTCAGCATCACAGGAGGACGCAGTCTGTGTGAGTTTGGAAACACCTTTGAAATTAAACCAGTTCCCTGAATGGTTTAGCCACTGCCAGCAAAAGGCCACGCAGACCACTACACTGTGTACAGGGATGGAAGAAGGAAGGAAAGGATATTTTTAACGCTCTTAGTTGGCAAAAATTATAAAGTCCAGAGCATGCTGCATTTTTTAAATCTAAATTGGCAAGGAATAACTTCAAAACACTTTTAATCAGTTGATTCTGCCACCTCACCAGCAGTCTCAGACCACTGTAAACCTCACATAAGCCAGTTTAGCTCCTTCTGGCAATTACCACAGCCAGGTTTGAGCATCCAACCACATCTCCATTTGGGATATTCTCTGCTTTTATTACATCTATTTGGAGTCACTTGGGCAAATCCAGTGGACCTTCTGTCATGCAGAGCAGAGGCCAAGTGCCAGAGTGCTGATTGCTTAGCTCCTATTGTGCATCCAGCTCCCAGCATCATTATCAAGCTCATGCACACCAAGTGTATGCAAGTCTATCTATGGCCACATTGTAGAATAAAAATGTCTACAATTACTGTGGCCATATGGAATTTTCCCAGTCCTTCTCAGGCTTCTTAGAAGGTGATTTTAAAGACATGGCTGACATTTGCAATGACACATTCTTCCAAGAAGCTTAAAAAAAGACTTATTTCTACAATATATATTCTGGAGAGCAAATCCCATCAGCAGCAAGCATGCCAGTAGAGGAGAGCTCTGGGTAACTCTCCACAAAGGAGAGCCTTGGTGGTGTGTAGGCTGTAAGGAAGAGGATGGTAGCAACAACAGTGCCAACAGGCTGTGCATTTTGGCACACATATTCTCACCATGTACTTTTGGATGCTGGAACAGGGGGATCAATCATCCTCCTCACAGACCCTCTGAGTTACGTGGACTGTTCTCAGGATCATGAGGAGCAAGGACCAGGAGGCACTGGAAGAGTGCTGAATGTATAGGAGGTGAGGAAATTAGTGCGTGAGATCCAGCACAAGATGCTTACAGCACTCAGGGTTTAGCTGAAGACCTTAAGGCACCAATGTGTAGCTGTTATCTTGTGAGCAAACTTCCGGGATGTTGTCAGCACCTATCACACATCACAGAATCACAGGATGACTTGGGCTGGAAGGGACCATAATCTTCAAATGCCAAGTTGGTTGAACCAGGTCATTCCAGCTGTTGTAGGATTCAAGTGATCTATCAGGATGCATCTGCAGTAGCCAACATCCTCTCTGAGTCTAAAAGCCAAAAAGAGGAGGGGGGGTGGGTGGGTGGGTGTGGGTGTGCTGAGTTCCCAAGCAACAAAGAGAAGCAAATCAAGCAAGAAACATTTCATGGAATAAATTCCATTCTATCCACTAAGGTGTCTGAAAAATGGAAAATGAGCCCTTAGACAGATGATTCAGTATCTCAGAGAGAGCATCCCATGCCCACCAAACCTGCTTTGTGATCACATTTATAAAGATTCAGAAGTAGTCATTAAAGATGTGCTGAAGTCAGTCATGGATTCCGGAACACACCCACATCTGAGGCCAGAAGCGAGGTATGAGTTTCTTCAAATGGGGAACTTGCCTACCTCAGGTCAACTTCCCTGTGCTTTCTATCTAAGTGTATTGTGAAGGTGACGTGGTAATTTCTCCATGACTCACCATTTGTGTAAATCAACCAATGCCACAGTCTGGACTTGACAACGTATGGTCTGTTGTGTCCTGGTGCAAGGTGTGATGCGTTGCACAGGGTCTTACACCTGTCTGCGTACAATTATAAGACTCCCTGTCTGCCTTAAGCCCATAGTGACACAACCCACACAGGGCTGGCATCTCTGACAGGCAGCACCCTGGCATGGATGTCCATGCCCAGGTCCAGCTGCTGCTAGATGGTCCCTTGGGTCTCCCCAGGAGGCTGCTCCAAGGCTGTGTGCTGTACACAGTCCCTTTTCACCCCATGGGACAATGCTCTGACATTCCTAACTCTTCCCTTTCCTTTCCCACAGCTGACAAAGAGGCTGATGAGTACTACATGAGGAGGAGACACCTGCCTGACCTGGCAGCCCGGGGCACGCTCCCTATCAACGTCATCAAAATGTCTCAACAGACCAACCAACGGGACAGGCCCCGCCGTCCCATCCGGGCCATGTCCCAGGACAGAGTGCTGTCTCCTGAGAGGATCATGCCCGAGGAGTTTAGCATGTCCTATGAACGGATCCTCTCAGACGAGCAGCTCCTGTCCGCAGACCGCCTCCACTCCCAAGACCCGCTGCTCTCCCCGGAGCGGTCGGGGTACCCTGAGCAGTCTATGTCACGGGCATTGTCACACACAGACGTCTTTGTATCAACACCCATCTTGGATCGCTACAGGATGACAAAAATGCACTCCCATCCTAGTGCCTCAAATAACTTGTACAATACCTTAGGTATGAACCCAACCTCTGCTAAGCGCCAAGCGTTCGCCTCCCGACGGCACAACACGGTAGAACAACTGCATTATATTCCAGGACACCACCACCACTACCGCACAGCGAGCAAAACAGAGGTGACTGTTTGATATGACCTCGTGCATTGTAGATATTCATTAAGGACTGGGGTGGCCACAGCACCCCAGACTGCAGTGGCCTTATAGGCCAAGATAACCTTGAATTACTGTCTGAAAAGACTTCTCTGACAGTCCCATCCACATTGTTTTTAAAGCCACCCGTTCATCGGTGACATAAGAACCCAAGCAAGCAAGCAGATGTTAGTGAGGCATAATAGCAGAAATTTCTTGATGTGCATTGGTTTCTGTCAAAGAAAGCCATAGTAGTCAATGGCTCCTTCTAAGGGCTCACCTGCATTATCTCATTGTTCTTATGAATTTAGGACTTTTCAGTTGCTACAGGTAGAAGCAGTCTCATGCAGCCCAAGACAGGGAGGAGGAAACACAGCACCCCATTCTGGCAGGAAGGGTTACTGCTCTTGGTCCTCATGCCAGCCCTCATGTTTGGCCTTTCTGTAGCAAGAAGGTAAACTTCTGACTGCTGGGGATCACCTCTGGACTGCTCGCTATCAGTCAGCACCAGTACATCTGTTCTTCATCACCCTTGGAGTGAATTCAAGGGCAGACTTTCCTAGGGGACTGACAGATCTAGGGACAAGAATAGCCTGGCTGAGAAATAAAGTTTTAGTTTATATTAAATATATTCATAAGATAAAAACATACTAGTGCCTACAAATCGCCTGCTCTCTCAGTGTAGGAAGTAGTGGGGTTGATGTGTTCAATAAGCACAAATATACTGAAATGCTTGTTAGACCCTTTTCCCCACTCATTGTAGTATCTTGATGTCTCCAACATGTAAATAGGAAGGAGGAAGAGGGTTTCTCCTCCTCCAGCTTCTTGCCACTGCTGCACCTAAAGAACCAA